TGGAATAAACTTTTTTGTTTACTTATTCTTTAGAACGTTCCTGATGATATGTAAACGTATATTTCAATGGCATTCTGTTTATTCTGGTTGTGAAATGGGTTTATCCGGAATGTATAAAGAAACGCAGCCTATATGTACACAGATCGGCATTTACAAAAATTATAAAAANCTGCCAAGATGAAGCAAAAGAAAAAGTAATACTCCGCCTGACGTTTGTAATTTTGGCGCCATGTTGTTTTCTTTGAAATGAACCAAAGGTAAACAAAGAATATGAAGACGAAGCATTAAGGAAAAATTAAAGCAATTTTTGAGAGCATTTTGTGCTAACCAATTTATTAGGGGACTTTCCTTAAACTTATATAAGCAGGGTACGGAGAATATTTAAAATATTAATTGTATTCACAAATAATTCATTACAGCAAACATTTGGGTCGAATTCAACGCTTATTAAAATTCTCGATTATAAAAAATTATTTTTATCTTTCGAGCTAGGGAGCACAAGCGCAACCACTTTGAGCAAATAAAAATACGAACAAATTAAAAATGTCTGTCATATAACTACGAGATATTCAACATAAAAACAAAAACTCGTACGCAAATGATTCAAATTCATTCTTTCTTCTATTCATTCGAAATATTCGAGTTAACGTCTGTCGATCTGTTGATCTATGCTCAGCTATTTTCAAAATAGTATTTTGCTTTCATACGGAGAAGTGTTTTTTCGTAGACGTTATTTTGAAAGATGTATATAATGTAAAATTACCGAAATTTGGCTATATCTCGAAAACTGTTCTATTATCTTAATATCTGACTTCATACTTGGGCTCAGCGGAAATTTCTAAATATGAAATGATGGTCAAATGCCTGAGCTCAGAACTTTTTTGAAAATTTGTTATCTAGTGTACATAATAATGGGTGAGTTCTAATTGCATGTTGTTTTGTATTGCTGCGAAATGTACACACAATATTATACAATACAAAGCAGCATGCAACTTGGAACTCGTCCTATACATATGTAAATATGTAGATGTGTGAAATAATTTTAATTTATAATACTGTGCTTTGAAAACAAGGGAATTAAAATAAATAAATTTTCTTCAACATATGAGTAGTCCACTTGCAAACAGCGGTATGTGATTTTATAATAGAAAGCCATAAATTTAAAAAAAAAACAACTACGACAAGTAACATTTAAATTGAATCTTTTTTATTATTACCTGAAAATTTGGATAAATAAGAGCCTTATAAAACTATAACATAACATACCATGACATAAGATAACATTAACAGTGTACAGACCTAAAGCAGTTTTCTAGGTTCATCAGAAGATGGATACTTTTAAAAGTTTATAAATAAGTATGATAGCGACTTTTGGAAGAAGAATTAACATTTTATGCTATTTTTTCAGAATATAAAATGATTTTGCACTGTGTTGTTAGTGGACATGAAACTAATTTAAATACTGGTACGTAATCCACCAAAAACTAAAAATCGAAAAAATTTTATATAGCGCACTTTGCAAGTGGACTACTCATTTATTCAAAAAATTATTAAAAAAATGTAGCGTAATGTTGAGAAACAGTATAAGTATCAAATAACAGAAAAAAATTCTGCATAATTGTGAAGAATTAAATTTTTTAGCCCTAAAGTACTAATAGGCATTGAAAATGTGCTTTTAAAATAGTACCCTTGGATATCCCTGAAAATTTCGAATAAATATTATTGAACAAATTTTGTCAAGGACTAAGATATACACGACCACATCCTCGAATTTCGCCCTTCTAACTTCTGACCCACCTGTCTCTACGAAACNTATAGCGCAATTTGCACGTGGACTACTCATATATTTACATACATACATCGCTAAATAGTGATAAATTTGAGCAAATGTTTGCGGCAGAGAGCGAATGAGTCAGTTCATATTCATTCGTATATAACGAATGAAAACAATATAATTACCTTTGAAGTTAATGAGAACGCAAACAAAATTAAAAAATACATTCTTCCAAATGTAAACAAAAAAAAAAAACAATCGTCGCCAGGCAACGAAAACAAATGGTTGTTATAAAATTCGTTCACAGATCGCAAATACAAATAAAATGAATTAATTTTAATCATTTGAAAACGAATTTTTCTGAACCCTGCATAAAAGCCTCGTAAACATCGTAAAGCTCGTAAATTTACGAGCCTCCTAAAAGAACTGTCAAAATTTGTAGAACGTTAGAGGAACGTAGATAACGAGTTGTCCCTTCTTGTTATTTACGTTCTTTGCTTATAGGGTTTTACACGGTTTTTGCCTTAAACCACGCTACAAATATCAAAATCACTTGAAATAAATGAGTTCATACATTTGTATGTACACACAAACTTAACTTATTTAAGCCGTCCAAATGCCCAAAACTAACACATTTTAGTTTTATATGGAAGAAAACCGCAACACTTTCGCCAAAAAAAATCTAAAACGAAAACGTTTAGCCACTTGAAACTTTCACTTGAAATGTGTGGGCTACAAAACTGCATACCCAAAATCTTTATAGAAAATTTAATTAAAATGCTTAAGATTTTTACAAAAGTTTGTTTTAGGTTTTTTCAAATATTGCACAAAGTTTAAAACTTGGAAACGGCTTTTGTTAAAGAATTAACTATATTTTAATCAAAAAATAAGTTAAATAAAAAATTTGTATGTATGTATGTATGTAAACATTATATGTACATTTTTATTATTTTTGTTGACTAACACACAATATATTTTCATTTAAAAAATGGCCTCGAGCTCATTATAAAATTGTTGAATATAATTTGTTGACTAACTTTATAATAGTTTGGTTTATGAATGCATAGATGAATTACATTTAGAAAAATAATAAACAGAAAGACCAGCAATATATCAAAATTCGTAATTTTTTTGTAAATAAGGAGATATCTATGGGTGGGGAACTTGACGAAATTTCAGGCAAACTCAGGGAATTTGAATGTTGAAATCGGTGCTTTCTAAAAAATGAGTTGGCTACCCTGGCTCGGTACATCGTGGATGCTTGTTCTTCTTGCAGTTTTGTTTACATTTGTGTCGCCGTCCTTTGCTTTTACTTCCGCTGGTCATTTATTTGTGATTTGTTTGTCACATCGATTTTTAAAAGCTTACATCTACATCCTTCTCCTGCGTTTAGTTTTCTTAAAAAATTTTCAGGAGATTTTCGAGGAAGTATGTCAAAAACTCGTTTCTTTAATTTTGCCGCAAATACATCTAACGACATTGAAGAGCCAAATGGAAGAGTATCCATGTCCAGCAACAACAACGGTGATAATGATGAGAGCAACGATGATGACTCTGAGTTCCTACAGGATGTTCCTTATTCTTCTAGTAGCATAGACAGAAGTTCCATAGGCTCAATTCCATGGGCTGATGATGCCATAAAGCAAAACCAATTGGATTGGGAGAGAGTGGAGCGTATGCTAATTGGTGAAGAAGCCCTGCCAACGGAACCAGATTTGCGTAATGAGATTTTAGAATGGCAACAAAAATTCCCAGAGTTGGTGAATGAAAAGAACATTACGGACTTGCCACCAAAATGCTTGCCAGAAAGAAAATTTGGTATTTCCAAAATTAGTGAGACTTCGGCACACACATTGGTGGATGATTTAATTTCTCATTTGAGCTTAAACAGCTCTGAAGACGATGACAGATATGACGAACTGGCAACGCCCACTGCGGCTCCCCAAAGATTTGATAATATTTTAGATCAACAAGGCCGAACAAGTCCTAGTAAAAAATCCTACATAGACAGACTTTCAGCCAAAATGTCCTTACTACGGATAGCAGCATTGCCTATACGTCCCTTTCAGCGTAGTGATACTGTGAAAGCAATACCACAACAAACCTCAAAAGAACCAGAGCACAGCGGTACCTCTAATTCCTTACGTCTACATGAAGTATCGTCAAGTAGACCTCAACCACCAAAGCTTTCACCTAGACATACACATTACAAAGATAAAGCGTTCGAGCCTCAACAACTCTTCCGAATGCCACCAATTCTAAATGTACTAGAGAGCAAGCGACGTTTTCGAGACTTAGCGCCGAACAAAAGTTTTGTTCAATTGACACACGTGAAGACTCCACACGCAAAATCAGCCGCTGTAATACGACAACCAGAGAATAGTTTGCAGCTCGGAATGCAAACGCGAACCACCACTAATTTTCCGCGCCATCATCAATCGGTTTGGCAAAAGCCGTTGGTTGCTTCGCGCGTAAGTAGTAATTTTTTTAATAATCGTAATGCCATAATCTTGCCCTCGCTGAATACACAACGCATGAACGCTGAGCAAAGACGCAATAGCACCACATCCAGTACAGGAGTTGGTATAAGAACGCACACTTTGTCTAATTCCAATTTCGACTCTTCACCAAACAGCAGTGCCAACATTGTGTTGCGTCCTCATTATGGCGCTGATCGCTTTGCATCCCGATGGCAACAAATAAACGCGAATCATACGTCCACGTCGACAGGGACAATTTCAACAGGGCGCTCTATCTCGGCAGCCGTTCATCATCCGCGAGCAGATGTAGGAATGAGAGAGTTGTATGTGCCATACAATGCTTACAAACATAATGTTTTTAAATAGCAATCACAAGCGTGGCGTTTTGTATGATGCGTCACGAGGGTTTATGCGCTAAAAAAAGTATGGACGATGATTTTAAACTAACCTGATATCGAAAATTTAAGTTTAAAATTTGTATAAAACCAAAATTTACGCGTATTATTTAATATACGTATGTACATTCATGAAAAGTTATAGAAAACACTCGTCAGTGTTTAGTAACTGCCAATACTTTTAATGTTGAACAAATGTTACGGATACATCCATATATGTACCTATATACCTATGGTTCTAGTTACATACTTATTTGTAACGCCAAAAATCGTCGTAGTGGCAGTGGAGCAAGCGACGATATTTTTTAACACTNATGGTTCTAGTTACATACTTATTTGTATCGGCAAAAATCGTCGTAGTGGCAGTGGAGCAAGCGACGATATTTTTTAACACTCCAAATGAAATATGTGCTTTAAAGCTCTGCAAATATTGAAAATAAAATTGTGGTCAAATAAATTTTGACAACAGTAGGTACAGATATTCTGTTGGTAAAATTATAAAAAAAAATATGTTTTATTTAGCTTAATATTTCGACAAGGAATATTTTTAAATAACTTTACAATATAGTCAAAAACAATTTTCTGAACAGGTTTTATTTTTAAAACGGTTGTGTTTCATCNGAAATAACTTTACAACATAGTCAAAAACAATTTTCTGAACAGGTTTTATTTTTAAAACGGTTGTGTTTCATCCAAATATTGCAATATTCTAGGAGCGTGCAAATTTAATGTAAACCCTCATCTCACTCAAGCTCGAATCCTTCGAATCGCGTTCATTCAAATATCGTCACTGCCGCACTCACCATTGTAGTATTATTTTAATTTACTGCTATTTTTAGATTAGTTACAACTGCATTAAAAAAATTTAAATAAAATTCGGTATAGTAATTCTTACAAGTTAAAGTTATCCAAACGCAATCTTCCATCATTCTCGGTCAAATATAATAAATCTGAGAGGCACTGTTCGCTTATTAATTCCTCAACACGTTCACACATCTATACGAAAGTGAAAATTTATCAAAAAAGATCTTGAAAAATATTTATCTTATCCCACTCACTCCCTTCGCTTTGTAGTCCTTTAATATTTCGGGGTGCTTGAAATTCGGTCCGAAATTTACACTTACGGTGGCATTCTTATGTATTGATATGGTAGGATAATATAAACCACCATATATATCTGAAAAAGCTACAGATTGGGATTTTCCATTCTTAAAAAATTCTATTTTGCTGCCAGGCTGCACTTGAAGGCCTTTAAGTGTTTCCTGCACTTTGTCCTTATCCTCATAATACAAATGTGACTTGAACTTTACTAACGGCTGCAAAAGCAGAATATAATAAAAATACAAAGTGAAAAATTGGTAAAATATCATCTACTCATGTATCAACCCTTGTATCAAATCATGTCTAATCCTTACTACTTTAGTATGGATTAGACATGGGTAAGAGACAAGAGCCACTTAACAGTAGTAAGAGTTTTTATTTTTTGAATTTTAAATTATGTCGTTATTCCAGAAGGCCATCGATGTGTAGTTATGTTTTACATACATCGTTGCCTTAATATAGAAAGGCCCCCCAACTAATTTGCTTCCGAAATCAACCTTTGCACAAAAGGTGCTGAAAATTAAAGAAAATTACTGCAGAATCCACTTATTAATCAATCAAATAGTGTACAATACTTTTATTTGTATAAAATTTAATTACGCAGCAGAAAGAAAGTGTAAGTGCCTTTCCAGGTTAAAGAACGATATGTAGGTGTTATATTGTATTGCCGAATTATTACATATAATCATTATTATGAATTATTTTTATTATGACATAACAACTTACTCTGTCCTTAAACGTGTTAGGTAAGTAATTGCTGTCAACTTCATCAGGTAAATCTATTAAAAAACCCAGCACTTCGCCTTCCGCATAAGCATCGCTATAGTGTTTGCCATGACTCTCATGGAATCTAGTTCCCTTGCGTGACCGCCATGAGTAGCCAAATTTGTCATAGCCGAGGGGTGCTTGCAGGTTGCCGTACTCCTGACCCCAGCCCAATCTTGTTGCAGAGCCTTCGGGCATATCATCAACAATGGCTTCAAAATACCAGCGCCCACGATTTACAGCTGGAATGATATCCCGAATGATAAAAAGCGAATATCTAAAATACTAAATAAATGTGGACGTGAAATACACTTAAACATACACTGGCGCTCACCTAAATAGCACCCTTTTGTTGTTTACAATATTCGCAATTTTTTACGTGATATTTTTTTTCGTTAATTTTTTTATAAAAATATAGTAGATTCTATAACATGAACCATATAGTCAAACTTTAAAACTTTGTACACAGTTCAGGAAAGTTTAACAATTTAGAAAAAAAGATATCAAAATTTTCAACTTTTTTCAGAATTTTTAGAAACTTTTGGAAAAATCCGGTCGATTTTTGAGATTTTTTTTTCGAGGGTGTTGCGCATTTTCTTCTATATAAAAATAGATTTTGTTCATGCCTTATATGGGAGAAAATGTGCCACACCCTCTACAAAAAAAAAATCCCAAAAATTAACGAGATTTTTTAGAATTTACTAAAATTGAATGGGCTACAAAACTGCTTACCCAAAATGTCTCTAAAATTTTTTTCTGAACTGTACACAGAGTTATAAACTTTCACTTATATGGTTTATGTTACAGAATCTACTATATTTTTATAAAAACTTTACGGAAAAAATGTATCACGTGACAAGTAATTTTTAAGCAAAAAGAAAACCGACCGGTAATTTTTTTCATGGTCCAATGATCGGATCTAAACCAAATTAGTATAGGACGAACCCTGAGGTAGGAACCACCTTTCCTTAAAACAAAAAAAGAATTATAGAAATCGGTTAACGTGGTCCAAAGTTATGCGGTACATAAAACATACATAAAAAATTTCGACGAATTAAAAACCTCCTCCATTTTTGAAGTCGGTTAAAAATAAAAGTGTGCTATTCAGTTGAGCGCCACTGTATATATTTAACCAGGAAATTAACCAAAATAAACAAAAAACCAATATTTACTTACAATGAGTAGCGCGCACCATACAGTATCCCTTATCACCAGTGACAGACAGACGATCTTCTGAAATTTTTAGTTGTGGTGCACGATCATGCAAGGCCAATAAAACGCAATTGGGAACCAGTGTTCTATACAGCCAACCAGGTATTGGTTTGCCAGCCCAATCAGAGCTTTCGTCGAACTCTTGCCGGAAGGGTGCATGAGGATCAGGTTCAGCTAGAATATAACGATAGCCATCCTTATTAAAAGGATGCTCCAACGGATACCCATGAGCTGGTAGTTTCACATTTGCGGTAATATCTGAACTAGGTCGGCCCTTTTTACCAGTAGGTCCAGAATCATTACCGGGCGGTTTTCGTTTGTATTGACGATTATTCTTTGTCAGTGATGAAGCTGAGAGCAGAGTTAATGTGTAAATAGAGGTTAAAGATTAAATATATATTCTACAGGCAAAATACTTCGCGAGTTTGCTAAATGCCAATGGAATAGGGTCATGTAGAAGCGCAATAGCGGCAATGGAATGTGTGCAGATGGTAAAATAAACTTGAACATGACTACAGAGCCTCGTAGTGAAAACGACACTCCGAAAAATATGACTCACAGTCCCACGGGTCAGTCAAACAAATCAAATTTAATGTAAATCCACGGGTCCTTGCAAAAAATTTTCATTTTAACGCACAGGAGTCGTCCAAATTCATGATTGGTTTGTCGTTTTATCAATCAATTATTTTACGTACTTTCTTCTTCGCGATGCGGCACTGTGTTGTCCATATTCTCGGAAAGTTGAAACTACGTGCGCAGCAACTGTGACAGCGTACAGTTGCGGCGACGACGAAGACGACGAGTCGTCCAACCGAATCGATATATCTCACAAAAACACTAACTACTGCAAAAGCTTTTATGTACATATGCATGTGAATTTACACACACAGTCGAGTAATATATCAAAACAAAACAATAGTGGATCCCCCCATAGCAGTATTTCGAACAATGCAGCTGCTTTCTATCATGATACAAACGTTTCGCTTACCTCGACCCCACCCACCCATATTTTAGTGAAAAGCCGGTGGTGACCTCGCCCGAAAATGATAAAATGCAATCAGATACAAAGTGCCATTGCAGTGATCAATCACAGTCGCGACGAAGTTTAATAAAAAATACAATTTAAAACGTTACGCGGTTTATACGGAAAGTATGGGCTAATTAGATGAATGCGAATGAATGAATGGGAACGGGCAACGATAACAAACTACATACGTACATAAGCATGTATGCACATATGAACATACACACGTGATAGAACAAACACAAAAGTTATTGCATATACATACATATACATAGGTGCATGTATATATGTACATATCTATTGGGTTATAAACCTTCAATGATAAATAACACGGTACCCGACCCAAATAAAATTTGTATAATAGTAGCAAAAACAATACACCACCTTCAAACAGTGACGGCCTGCAGTGTTTAGTTCACAATCTGAGCACAAAAAGCCAAAGAGAAGAATAAATTGAACGTAAAACATGCGAATAATGGCACAAAGCGAGTAACAAGTAAACATTGTAAATGCAGATATTTTGATTGTGTTGTCCAGTATGTTATTGTTCTTATGAATTCCTAGCACTGCTCCAATCCCTTCACGCACTTCTACTTACCTGCTCCGTGACCATCTTCGGATGTTCGCAGTAATCCGCCCTTACCCATGGAATCGTAGTTCGGTTTAATCTGTGCGAGATCCTGCGTTACTAAACCAAACATGGTGCCGAATTCAGAGTTTTCCTCGTACGTGAACAAAGTGCTGACATCTTTGACAAGTGACCTCTGCACCGTAGAATACCTAAGACCGAAAAATTTCAGTTAAATATTGTTTTTTTTTTTGAGGATTTTTCTATTTCAATATACCAACCAAGATTGTGTGACACGTCGAGGCATTGTCGTCATTGCCTCCCAGTACTGTTCGATGTATGGGATGATTTCTTTGTCTTTGCTAAATAGGAATTTAGTCTTCCCTTCCTTCAGCGCATTTTGCTGCATATTGGCTATGGCAGTGATGCACATTTGTGGTATAGCTGTATGGAAATCGGAAAATCATATAGCAGCTCACTTAAACTAAATATTTATATACAATTCTTACTCGCTTGACTTTTTCGAAAGACCTCAAGCCCACTTTGCGAGCAATTCTTGCAGACGAACACATAATTGGTGATGAACGGTACCAACTTGCCCAGCTGATAGCCAATACAAGATTCGTGAAACCAACGACTGCAATTGGCACACAGGAGCTCCACNAAACAAAGTGCTGACCTCTTTGACAAGTGACCTCTGCACCGTAGAATACCTAAGACCGAAAAATTTCAGTTAAATATATTTTTTTTTTGAGGATTTTTCTATTTCAATATACCAACCAAGATTGTGTGACACGTCGAGGCATTGTCGTCATTGCCTCCCAGTACTGTTCGATGTATGGGATGATTTCTTTGTCTTTGCTAAATAGGAATTTAGTCTTCCCTTCCTTCAGCGCATTTTGCTGCATATTGGCTATGGCAGTGATGCACATTTGTGGTATAGCTGTATGGAAATCGGAAAATCATATAGCAGCTCACTTAAACTAAATATTTATATACAATTCTTACTCGCTTGACTTTTTCGAAAGACCTCAAGCCCACTTTGCGAGCAATTCTTGCAGACGAACACATAATTGGTGATGAACGGTACCAACTTGCCCAGCTGATAGCCAATACAAGATTCGTGAAACCAACGACTGCAATTGGCACACAGGAGCTCCACAATATTGAGATTTCGTTCCTTCCCACTAAAAAATTTTTATATTAAATGCCAAGTACATGCATGCCAAATAAAAGAAATAAAATTTACCAATAGCAAATGCCGGTGCCGGTATTGGCGCCTGTTGCAAGTTTCTCCTCTCGCGGGGTTTCCTGTGCGCGTTCACTAGTGGCATATTCAGACGCAGACTCGGATAGGGAATTTGTATCCATTTGCAATTCGTCCATTTTGCTGCTGAAATATGTTTATTTCTTGAAAAAAGTCTGTCAGAAAAATGCAAAAAAGCGTCTGCAAATGTTTGACAAAAAAATGAATGCAATTGGAGTAATTGGATAGGTATGTTCAATAAGTGTTGTATCAAAATAAATTGTTGGAAAGCGGTGCCACACTGGCAAAACCAAAGAACGTAAAAATCTTCTTTTAAAGGCCCTACACACGTATCGATTTATCGGCCAACTAGTTGGCCAACCGCTAGAAGTTGGTGGTAAATAAACCGTGTGTAGGCAAGCTTGCAAACCTTCGTCAAGTTTTTCGTCAGGTTGGAGAAAAATTAAAATTTTTTTATTTTTCAGGCTGATTGGTCTACTTGTTGCTTTGTGTAAAGACAAATTGGCAACATAAATAGTGACTTCATTTTTTAAAGGCGCATTAACGTTAACATGCGTTTTTCGGTTGGTTTTGCCAAAGAACGTAAATCTATATAATCTATCTATCTACATATATATCTGTCTATAAATTTACCTTCTTTGGTTTCGCTAGTGAAAATGCATATAATTTGTGTAAACAGGGGCGGTAGCAATAACAAATACATAAAAATTAGAAGCATTTTCCTAGCGTAGCTTAAAAGTTTATATGTGCTGTTGTATTGTTTAGAGTTCAAAAACTCTTACTCAAAAGAAATCGGCCAACTGGTTGATGCGTGTGTATGGAATTTCGTTAAGTAGGTTGGTCAACTGGTTGGCCGATAAATCGATCAACATATTTGTTATTATGTACTTGAGCGTAAAATAGTTTGTTTAATTTTTGAATGATTAAATCCGGAAAAATGCGTTTTAGAAGCTATCTTACAAATGCTCATATCAAGATATAAAAACCCCACACAAATATTGCCACTGATATAATTTATATCTAATTTAGCCCAAAATTCTATATCTGGTACTAATAACTCATCACTGTTTTGCACTATTCACAATATACACACATATGGATACAAATTTTCACTACCAGTGGTGATTTACTTTCTTTGTGCAGCAGATGTAAGTTTTGTAGTGATTAAATTTTTTTTCTCGTGTATTTTCTAAACCTGGAAAAATTATACAGATTAATTTTCAAAGCAGTCATAAATCAATGTTCTTCAATTTTAATAACTTCATACGGTAAACATTAAAAATATTGTGCTTAAGAAAACTGGAGATCGATAAGTTCCTGTTGAGCAGAGGGATTCCCGGTGGGGTGTTGGGGAGCGCTAGGTCCACGTCGATTTTTCTTTGTTGGTGCACTTTTCAGCGGTGTATACCATATGGGAGGCGTATGTGTCTACATCAGTATTGCATTTGGTGATGCTTGATGTTATGAATAAGCGCTATTGATTTTTGTGGCTTGCACAAAAGGTGCCAGTAGAAATTTATGTAAATACTTCTTTTATACCTGCAATTATTGTTGTTTCTTATTCAAAGAACAAAAACGCTGTTTCTTGCTGACATCAACTGAAATGATTCCGTAAAACCGAAAAATTTTTCTGTGTAACTTTCAAAGTAGTATTAAAAATGGGAAATCTTTAGCTATTGCGCGGCTCCCCAAAACCCCCTAAACGAAAGAGGATGAACGCCGCTTTATGAAAAGTCACCCCTCACCCCCTTCCCTCTTAAAACCCCTTGGGAGCTGTTTGAAAACAGCGGAAATTTGTTTTTTTCTAAAACGATTATAACCCTCACTACTGCTTTCTCTGTTGCCCAAGAAGAGGGGCTGAACACCTTTTGCAGAGAGCACCTTTCTGCGTAGGCGGCCTTCGGCCGCACTTAGAGATTATAGCCCTCACTAAGTAGAATTCTCCTTTCTGTGTTGCCGAAGAAAAGGGCCTGAACAACTTTTGCAGAAAACTTTCGGCCGCGCTTAGGGATTATAACCCTCACTAAGTAGAATTCTTTCTGTTTTGCTAAAGATGAGGGGCTGACCACTTTTTGCAGAGATATTTCGTTGATATTTTTTTTGACAGCTCAGCTTGGAAACTTGCAAAAAAATACCATATTTCCAACCGACATTAATAAATTAGTGCACAGATATAGTAAATTTTATTTTTGTAATAAAGCAGGAACTGTTGTCTACAAGTGTGTGTAAAAGGTTTTTGATTCGATTCACGCGTTTGGGCACAGCAACCCAAAATCGTTGTACAAATTCATAAAGAGTACCCTTAGAAATACATAATCAGGAAAATGCACATACTTATGTCTTCGCCTTTATGCACAATAAATGTTATATACCCTTGGGTGCCCACTCTTTTCAGGCAAACGGAAAAGCTCAAGTCATCAACTGAAGTCAAACGAAAACGCAAGTAAAACTGTGATTGTTGCCCATTTTTGTAAAGGCTCCCTATGGACCTATAAGGGGGCTAGGCATTTGGGAGTTACATTTTTGAAAACGGCTGTTCATGCCCTCCCTAAAGTGGGGTTATGAATGTATCTATATAACTACTGGACTAAACGTAGCGTTTCATTATATATTTGATAACCCAATTAAATATTAGCACACATTCCAACTCTTACAAAACAAATAGTCAATTGGGGGACATTATTTACTTTGTTGAATAAATTTCGTTCCAATTTTCAAATTGCTTTAAAATAAACCCCATTTGTGTCTTTTTTTATACACTATCCAAGACACAAAACACTAAATTACAGTTTGAAAGAGATTTATTGTAATCAGCTCCCTTGTCGTAGCCAGTGATGTCGTTTTTTGTTTGAACATATGATTTCCCAGAAGACAATTTAGGTAGGCCTTCTTAAGTGAAGTTATTCTAAAAGGCCTACCAATGAAGGGCTGAAAAATGCTTCTCTGTAGAAGGGCTTATCCAATTACAATTTACGCGAATGCATAAATTTATATTGTTACGGATTCAGTGAGTGATCCCACGCCCAAATTCTCAAAACGCTTATATTTGATTGTCGTTTGAAATATCTGTGAATTTATTTTACTTGTTCAATAAATGATAATTACATTTATTTTATATAATACTTACTTTAGTACAAAAAGGGATCAATCCTGATTTAAATTTTAAATTTATGTGTGCACACGTGTAAAAGAAAGAGATCAAAAGGCAGAATGTCACGGAAACGTCTCCAATAAATTCCTTTCGATTCATTAGGGTGTTGCCGTATCTTTTCTAACATATATTATTTAGCATCACAAATGAATTTCAATATACATTTTACGTTGCAATAACACATATTTGATATAAACCTTAAGCAAATACTTTATAGATGTATGAATTTAATAAATTAAGGAAGCAACTTTGAATGAACTCGTCCAAAAGGCCTTCTGAAGTACGTCCTTCACCTTCTTGAAGGCCTTCTATGGGTAGCGATAGAAGAAGCACTTCAATTGAGCTTTTAACTCCCGAAATTATCTACTGGGTTATAAAATGATGTACATATATTTAATACGGCCATGCACGACGAACATTTTGGCGAGAACGTTCACAACTCGCATTCGTCTTTTTAATTTTTTTCTGTAGTACCGCAAATCCCGCGGAACCCGTGTGAATAATCCCTCATTTATGCGTTTGCGGGATTGGATTCCCCAATAGTACGTATATATGTCGTCACTAGACACGACTAAAAGCGGGAGCTCTAAAGTTGATGGCGATAAAAGACGCATAAAAAACCTAGCGTCAAAAACTCTTAACATACTTCGCCGAAGTTTTTCAGAGGCAAACTCAAATCCCGCAAAATTTGTTTACGCGCCTTTTTTCGCCGTCAAAACACTATCTCGCCTTTATTCGTGTGTAGTGACGATGTATTTAACAACACTTTTGAATTGCCGCTTATCGCCGACAACGATAAAAACACTTGTTTTTTACATATCGCGCACCGTCTTCAAAAGAGACACAACTCAGAATTACACGTTCGAAAATGCGAAAAACTATTTTTTAGCACATGCTAATCATATGGGCAAGGAAGACTTTACCTTAGGGGTTTTCAACAAATTATTACAAAAATTTGCTCCAGCTTTTGCTGGAAGGTAAATAAAAGTGCTATGTTTTTAATGCATACTTTTAAAAATGCCAAATTTTGAGTTGTGTCACTTTTGAAGAACATGTGCGATATGTAGACGGCGACTTTATGATTTTTTTACCGATATATTTTAATATGTCTAAGTGAAAACAGTACCTACTTATAGTAGAAATGAAATGTATAATGACTGAAAACGGCAACCAATTCAATAGTTATATTTTGTGAATCATTGCATCCAAGTGTTTACAGCATTCTATTGACTTACGCGAATGCCTTTATATTTTTATTTTATAGTTCGTTTAAGCCATCAAAAGTGCTGAGTATTTCAAGCTTCAGATAAAATATTTCCGAACTAAGTTAGAAACTTCAAATCAAGCGTACAGTTGATTGCTGTGTTGCCGGCAGCGATAGCAGGATGGGGTCATTATTTCGCAGTGAAGAAATGACCTTGTGTCAACTTTTTCTGCAGAGTGAAGCTGCCTACGCTTGCGTCTCAGAATTAGGCGAGTTGGGTCTAGTGCAATTCAGAGATGTAAGTACATTTTTATGAACGGAAAATTTGCTACTCTTATTTGTGATATACTCGTATTTTAATCTCTAGCTCAATCCCGATGTGAACGTCTTTCAACGCAAATTTGTCAATGAAGTTCGACGTTGTGATGAAATGGAGCGTAAATTACGTTATTTGGAAAAAGAAATCAAAAAGGATGGCATACCAATGTTGGACACGGGCGAGAGCCCTGAAGCTCCACAACCCAGGGAAATGATTGATTTGGAAGTAAGTGGTCGGGTTGCAAATCTACATACATATGTACATATACACACACACACATGCATATTTGTATATATGAAAAGATTCTTGTTAATTCTGATTATATTTTGCTCTTAATTAAACATCTTATTTTAAGGCCACTTTTGAAAAATTGGAAAACGAGTTGCGCGAAGTAAATCAAAATGCGGAGGCACTGAAACGCAATTTTTTGGAATTAACCGAACTAAAACATATTTTGCGTAAAACACAAGTATTCTTCGATGAGGTGAGTTGGTTTGTTTACTGTTTTTTTTTTCTTAAATGGATAATTGATATACATACACATTGGGCTAACCATAAGCTAATTGCTAACAATTTTTTTTTTGTTGTTTAGTGTGCAAACCAATACATATGTAGAATTGTTGCCTTAAGCACTTTTTTACACCAATATTTATTTGAATTTTCCAAACGATTGAGTGAATAAAACACGTCTAAATTTTTGAATTAAATATTTGACAAATCCAATAGTAATTGTTTACTAATCTACCATTGTGATACACTGTACAGAAATCAATTATGTACCTAACCATTTTTTCCTAAACACAGTTATACATACATACGTGACCCGAATAACACAATGAATCTAAATCATTTTGAATGGAGCTTTATTTAATGTTACCTTGGCCTTTAATATGCTGTGTATTTTGGCATGCTGCAGTCGTACACGGTAGCTTAAGTTTGTAAAATTAAAAATAAAAAACTTAACATGCTTATATCATTAAATCGGGCTTTTGGAGTTGAGATTTATTCGATAAAGTGAAATTTGTCAAGTTACAAACGTCTGCAGTGTGTAAAACTATTCGCTATTATAACTAATAATCGTATAGAAACAAGGGCTGGGACTATCTATATATTCAAATATACAAATAATACGTGTATCCGGTTAATATTTGTTCATCTTGTTAATTGAGCTATCCGGATATTCTAACAGTATTTGATCGGACGGGTTAAAGTTGCAAAATTAATAAATATAACAAGTCATTAATACACGAGGGGCTATTTTATTGTAAATTTTTAGATTCGAATATCCGGATAACTGGATATCAATACAAATATACTAGTCGTATATCCGGATATTCGGATTTATTGTTCAAGTACTCGAATATCCCGATTTTCCAAATATAAAAAAAAAATTTGGATGGAACTCCCAGCCGTAATATATACCCCCGTGCATTTTTTAACACAATTAAATATGTTTTAAACAACTGTTAAAAAGCTTTTAATAAAACACGAAATTGCACATACATACATATGCCTACAATAAAGACTCCTAATACCTTAACAATCTATCAGTTGCACATGAAATGGTTAAAGCCCTTTCCTCTCTCTTAACACACCCTTACCCCCAACCAAAAACCAACAGCAGGCACACTACCACAGCATCATCTATAAATTTATTTATTTATTTTTACAAATAATATGTGCATTTTCATTTTATTATGTGCGGTTTGAATATCTTTTCTCCTCGAGTTAATTATTCACTGTATTTTAGCTATGTAGTTCTACGTTATGCTTTGGTTCTGCCTTCATTTAATTTCTTTTGATAGCAAACTTTCATTTGCTTTCTCTAATGTCAGCTTTCCTGGCCATTGCAATGGCAAAAATTGCAATGACTAAGTTGGGCATTAAATATTAAATAATGCCCTTGTTATTACATTAATACAACTTAATAGTCATTACGACTGTTTCCACATGGTTTTTTTTTTAAAGGTTCACAATTTTTGTCTATGTCAATGTCTAGCGGAAACTTGGCTTAGGTAAAAAATATAAATAACTGCACTGCTTTAACTAGTTCGGCAAGCTTTTTTTTGTGGTAATAAATTAGGAGTTCCATAACAAAACGCAATAATTCCACTTGCTTATTACAAGGCAAATAATTAAAAAAAAAATTACCTTAATGCATCTACAATGCTTTGCAATAAATTTTTACATAAAAACACTCTTTTAGAAAAAGGACTTTTTCTACTGTAAGGATTGAACATAGAAATATTTAAAAAAAATTCGGTAAAATTAGTGTAATGTATTTTTTCTTACAACATATACAGATAATTTCATCAAAATACCGGAAAAGAAAAAGTATAATTATTGCATTTTATTTAGTTATTGTAACTAATATAGTTTCAGAAGTAAATTTAAGTAAATATCCGCATGTGATTATGTGTATTTGGAAATTAATTTTCATTCTAAGGCCCAATTTCAGATGGCCCATTTCAGTAGAGATTGTTTATTAACTTAAAAAATTCGTTTTCAGATCACATACTTAATATACACTTAAATGGTCAATATTGGCTATTTATATATGAGATATGCAACCCTGTGTTTGTATCAAACACTCAAGATTGATAGATAAGTTGCGTTCCCTAACTCGCTAGAAGTTGCAAGAATTTACCAGAAAGCGTTCTCGTACTCGGTTCTCTGACTTCTTTTGCTTTTTGACAGTTTAACAGTTTTTAACCCAGGAAAGTTGGCGAACGCAACTATAGGCTGTTTTATAGTTGTTTATAGTGGATCTCGTACTCGATTCTCTGACTTCTTTTGCTTTTTGACAGTTTAACAGTTTTTAACCCAGGAAAGTTGGCGAACGCAACTATAGGTTGTTTTATAGTTGTTTACAGTGGATCTGAAAGCCAACGAAAGTCAAATGCCATTTAAATAACAATCCAAAATTAAACTTAAGTGCCGTTTAAATATAAATTTGAAATTGGTCCTAAATGTTCAAGCCGCATTTAAATGCCCAATGATGGCTTTTTAAAATCTTCAACCTCGATTTTAAATACGAACTCATAATTATCTTATATGCCACACAATCCTTGATCTGAAATTGGCCCTTATCAATTAAATTGTATATTAATAATTTTATCTTATCTTATCCTTGTACTTTTGCTTTCATATTTCTTTTAAATCTCGAAATCCGCAAAGTAATTCATACAAACTTTAACAATTGAGTAGAAGTTTTGAGACTTTCGAGGTTTTCCAGCCATTTTCGGTTTAAGTAAATAACCCAAATATATGTATCTAAATATTTAAAAATTTTTTCTTAGACTAATTTTCTTTTGTAAACACTCTTAGTATTAGCAATGTTTATAAGTACAATAAATTGTTTTTTGTATCTTTTGTTTATACCCCTTTACATTTGATTTCCTGTTGCTATTTTTAAAAAATACGTATATTAAAAGTTCAGTTATGCAATACTTAGACTTGACTTGACTTACCTAGAAACTTAGACGCTATTACTCAGGGTGCCACCTATGACATTTTCTCTTTGTTTTGATTCTCAGCACTTGTAAAATTGTAAACGTTTAATTTGCTTTTACACCAAAATTGATAAAAAATTACCATTAAAATAAATGTACATATTTACACGTGTCAAATTGTGATTTCTTTATTTGCTTTCTGTCTTTGTTTGAAGGTTTGTTTTTCGATTGCCAGGTGTACAATTTTCAAGTCAAGTCAAGTGAAGTCTAATGGCTGGTTTCTCCAACTCAATTTAACTTAGTTTAGCCACTTTTTGGACTTAAGTCAAAAGTTAGCCTACGTTTTATACAGCTTATTCTTGACTAGGTCGAGGAAATTGACTTAACTAAGTGAAGTTGAGTTGGAGAAACCAGCCCTAAGTCTGGCATAACTGAGCTTTAAGAAAGCCATATAATTTGACGCATGATAAAAATATAGTAAGGACGAACCGCTGAGATTCACTTTTAAAATTCTAGCTGTTTTCAAGCAATTTAATTTTTAAATTTACTCACAAACACACACAGATATTTTCATTTTCTATCTCAAGAAACAACAATTTCGAACAATTTAAATTCTGCCTTATCCTGAGTTTCGCCAAAAAAAAATGCACCCGAAAATTTTTCATCCGCCTATAGTAAATACATGGAAACGGAAAGTGAAAAGTGAACCGGTTCGGCGAAAATGATACTCATGATAAGTCTAATTTTTTATTTTCAATTTTGGGCGTGTGTGAGTTCTATTGGGAAAGCTGTTGAATAATATTTTTGCTATGGTGAGACAGTTTTGCCAATCTGCTGTGTGAAATGAAATTTTTTTGACAGCAGTAATTTTTTGATAACCGCAGATTTATGCGGAATAAAATATTACAAATTGAAGTGAAATTAATATTTTAAGAAAACATCTACCATCGTTGATTGCAATGCATCAATTTAAGATTTATTTAACGAAAAATTACACACATCAACAATAGGAGTGTTCGCTATGCAACTGCCAGTAAGAATTAGCCAGTAACAAAATTCGGAGAACAAGGTACCTTACTCTCCCAAAGAGAGAAACTTACTAAGTTTTGCGCGAACAGGAATTAGCAAACATTAGCAAGCTTCACTGCCAGCTGGCGTCCACAGTTGCATTTCAGGCATAATACATTTTTTAAATTATTTCAGGTAGAAACCAAAACAGGACCTATACGTATATTTCTACTTATTCTGATTTTCTTCAACATACGCTTCAATTTCATTGTGGAAGTGACGGTCGGATTTCCTATATCGACAGAGGTGTCGAGTGCGTTCCAATTGCGAATACAGCTTTTTCAGCCGAGTACCTTTCAAATGTTTGGAATTAATTAAATTAATTGAATAAACGAATATTTACATACTTCTTTTATTAATAAATCGCAAAAGATTGTTCATTTTTAAATTTAACGAACTCGTTGATTCAAATTAATGTTGACAAAAATGCAACCGTGTGCCACAATCCTGCTTGCAAAATCTAGTTGTGTTCGCGTAGCTGTTAATTGTTCATGTTTAACCAAAACTTACAAGTTTTTGCGTTCGCGTACGCAAAAAACTTGCAAAGTAGGGGAAATTGAGAGTGCAAAGTGACATTTCATTTTGAGGGGAAGCTGCTGGTTTCTGTTGGAAAAATTTTTGCCAACAAAATGCGACTAATTAAACTTGTAAGAAATAAGTAGTTATTTGTTTAATCAATAAACTGTGTCAGTATAACACTTTGTGATGACTTTTCGTATGTTTTAATTTTACACTTTTGAATGTAAACAAAAATTATATCAGCTGTTCGTCTAACTTGCAAGTTTCAGCAAATTTTCTGTTCGCGTACTATTTGGGATATTTTTCTCTTGTGAGAGAACAGATGACATTACGCCGGAATTTGGCAGTTTGTTGGTTTTTACTGAAGATGTTAAACGAACGCACCTTCTAACTGGCAAAAATTTTCCCAGCACGAATTTGCAACTTCCCTTCCAAATGAAATGTCAAAATTGTGCTCTCTCCTTTCAACGATTTGGTAACAATTCGTACCAACTTGTACAAATTGTTTGCCTAGCGAACACTCCTAATCTTTGCGATAGTCAAAATTTTCTATGCATTTGTCAAAAATTTCCCTAGCCTCATGAGCTACTGAAATTTTATTCACCTCGTAGTTGTCAAAAATTTACTCGCCGCGAACTTTGTTACCGATTCACACACGCTCTTTATATGATTTATATGATTCTGGCAAACATAAAAATAATCATGTCCGACAAATTGAGAGAACGGTTCTACCTTGCTATGTTTTTATCATGATTTGACGTTTGAGTTTGCTTGAGCTTTCGGCATCGTCATCCTTTGCTTACAGCGCTAAATGAGCACAAAGTAAAAAGTCGCTATAGCTATTTTCTCAATTCGGATGTTTTAGACCGACAGACATTCGTAATTAATAATATTGAAATACAATAAATTTGTTGAAAAATATATTAGAAACTTAATTTCAATTATTCGAAATAATTTCGAGGCAAGTTGTCAGTATGGATTCTGGACTGTATTCTCTTTGTGCTATCGATAACAATAACTAGATATGTATGCACATAATTACTGGAATCATATTTGTATGATTAATAAAAATTTGATAAAAATAGGAAAGGAAACAATTTACATTAAACAATTGTTTAATATGATTTATTAGGCCAAAACACAATAAAAAACCGAAAGCAATTAACGTTTTTTGCATGTTTATATATATATATTTTTTTAAAATAATATTCGGGAAAGATAGAGCGCAGACGCGCGTGCTATGTGCAAACTGTTCACGGAGGAAAACAATCTCAAGCGATGATGGCAACACACAAATTTGAAATTTTCTTCATGTATACACAGTGTTGGGTAAAACTAATGCGAAAAACGCTCAGCCAAAATTGATTACTATTTGAAAAAGAAAAATAATAAACTTGGATAAAAAATTGTTTGTAAATTATTTATTTTTTATTCAAAAATGGCATATGTATGTATACATACAGATCGTCACCTGAAATGCAAAAAGACGTAACAACACCGTAAATGAAATGGAAAAAGTCGTGATTTTTTTTTCATAAAATGATGTGGCGAGTTGTAATTCGATGAAATCCATCATATGAATCAAAAAGTGAATTTGGAATTTTTTATTTGTTATGACTTTTTGCATTTCAACGATGATGTTTGTTACGTGTTTTTTGCATTTTAGGTGACGATATGTATGTGTTGTGTGTATGTACCATAAGCAATTTATTGAACTTGTTCCTCCCAATACTGTATATACAAAAATGTACGTACTCTAACTGCACATCCTTTGGTTTTATTTGCTCCATTTCTTCAATTCTTAATTTATATCATTAATTGTTCGGGAACTTCTATAAGTACTTATGCTTTCAATCTTCACTTCCGCTGTTTGCTTGCAGTTTTTGTGTAGTCTCCTACTAAAATACACACAAAAAAAAAAACAAAATAAGTTCAGTTTGTTTTTTTTTTAGCTTTTTGTTTAAATTTGAGTTAAAAAAGTTGTTTGTTTATTTTCCTTTGTTTCGTTTCTTTGTTTGACACGGCTGCGTTACGTTCATTTGTTATCTGCAAATCAAATCAAACCAACTCAAATGAATCTAATAAAAACAACACCCACACGAAATATCCAACTTCAAACTGGCCACAAACAACATGAACTGCTCAATCAAACTTTGTGTATCTTCGTTATATGCTACCCGTTTTGTACCTCAAATCCTGTATACTATAATTACCTACTTACATAAATCCATTCCCAACAATCAACCATCCCAACGAAATACTATCCCCATTCATCGATCTGTGCGCCCATTTTTTCGGTTATTATGCGTTTGTTTGTTGTAAAGACGGTGCCTACAGTTTCTTACAATACTTCCTCCTCCACTGCTACTTTTAAAACACGCTGGCGTTATGGACGGAGACAGATGGCCGATAACCAGAATGAGGATGAGCAGGCGCAGTTGCTGGGTGAAGAAGGCGTGCGCGCCAGTCAGCCGGGACAAAATTTGAAACTTGGGTAAATATAAAAAAAAAGTTGCATCTCAACTCCGCAACAACCATGCTTTCATGTTGTATAAAAAATATTACAACAGAAAACTCGGATCAACGAAATGATATTGATGAAATATTTACATACATATGTTATTCTTTTCAAACAAGATTTTTACTGCAAAAACTAAACTCAGTTGTATCGTTGTGCCAAGACTCAACGAACCGGGTCTTAATTTCATGTCGAAAGTGGGAACTTTAAACCGCCAATTACTCGCTTCAACTTACTCATCTTAATGCACTTTTGGGCACAATGCACGGCCAAATACATAATCTCTATCTGATTTTATAATGATTTCGTTCCTTGATAACTTTAGTACTTGTGTTTGTTTTTGTTATTATTTGATCTACATATATGCTTATTTGTGGTGCATTGCTTAACTGTTTGTCAAATTTTGTTGTATCATTTACATTGTACTATAATATTTTTGTACATATTTATGTCCCACTTTCTGTAAGTGCGCTTTAGACTGCTGCAAAATATTTGAATATATTTTGAATCTAAATAGTTGGATAAGCAGCTTAACTTGTGAAATTTCGCCAAAGCTTTTGTCAACTAGACATAAAATGCATACACACATACATACATACATACATACAAAATCACATATCATACATAATGTAAATATATGTGTGTGCGCGCGTTTGATGATATCCTTGATCCTATTTCCTAAAGTTCCATGGTCGCTCTACCTATACCGTGTCAGTCCTGTCAGTCGTGCTGCAGCAATCGTAAACTGGTGTTGGCATTTAAAAATCTTTGTTATTAAAACATATATATGAAACATTTATGAAACCTAAGCGGAAAAGAATATAGCACCGAAAAATGCACATATAATTTGTTGGCATTTGATAAAGTCACAATCACATCCTCCCATTTATGTACATATGTACTTGATACATATCGCATATTCAATCAAATCTCCGAAATATACACATCAGTCTTGAAAGTGTTGGTTATTGGATCGCGCAAATGGTTAAGGCTCCCAGAATATTTGCATTAGTCTTTAACTTTAAATGTTACACTAAATCCTTTGCTAAAATTATTGCTAATTCAACTACTAATATCAATTGGAAAATAATACTTAACTATGGTGATGGTGCTTAGGCAGTGCAGGCCAAATACTACATACATACGTAAATGTAATTATTTTAATTATTTTGCTCACTCTTACAATTACACCTACGTATATTCTCAAATGGCATTCGAATACTTAGCATACGATTTGTATATTTCTTAAAATTTGTAGCAGGAGGGTGGTCTCAATACCACAACTGAGTCGATGACACGCGCATTAATCACCGACGAAGTGCGAACTGGCCACTCGATGGGTCCAGTTCAGCTTGGGTATGTATTGTATTGCTTTATTAAGAAATCAATGCCAATGGCTTAATCAATTAAATATAAAACAAAAAATACATATACTCAATGGCTCAAATGCTAAATAATATGTGTGTACATATGTATACAGTATGTAACAAAATTGAACAAATGAAACTATTTACATACATGTGGATATACAGTTACTCCCAAAATTGAGCGTACGGCTCTTGCTTTGTTAATATTCGCAATGTTTTAGATGCTAAAAGTTTGGTAATTTTTTATTAAAATATGGCTTATATTTCAGCAAACTCCATTTAAATCCAAGAATGATACTGTGTAGAAAAATTAAGGAAAATCTGCAAAGTTTCAGCAAAATCGCCAACTGTTTAATACGAATTTCTAAAAAGAATTCAGGTATGCAGTTTCATAGCCCATTAAATTTCAATATAATAATGAGCAAATTTCAAATCTCTAAAAAATTGCGTTGGTTTTTGAGAATTTTTTTGTTGACTGCCCTACGCATTTTTTCCATATAAAAAATTTTCAACGCGAATTTTTAGACATCTGAAATTTGCACATTATTATACTAAAATTTAATGGGCTATAAAACTGCATACCTGGATTCTTTTAGAAATTCGTATTATTTTAGTACAAGTAGTTTTTAATAAAAACAGAAACCGACTTCAATTCTCATACAAACCAAATTAGTATGGGACCACCTGTGAAGTACCACCTTTCCTTAAAAAAAAAAAAAAGAATTATAGAAATCGGTTAACGTGGCCCAAAGTGTTGGGTAAAAATCGATGGTCCTCTTCAATAACGGCCTTATTAGTGTTAAGTGTTAAGTGGCACATGTCTCAAATCCTTGTCTAATTCATGTCTAAGGGTCTGATTATGCATACTTCGCATAACTTCGCACAACCATTTGTACCAGTGCACTAAAAGTGTAACTTAAGAAAATATGATGCAAAATCTAAACTCAACAGATCGTTAAGTTTTTAAAAGTTTTGCTAATTTCTGGTCAATGGAATACGGTGAAGGCGGATTCATCGTTCTAGTTCTGAACTATCTTGCAGAGAGTGCAACATAACAATAACCACATGGAAGAAAAGTTCTGAACTAAAACGATGAATCCGCCTTAAGAATATGTTCTTATTTGAAAAACATTTTTTATTGCTGTCATAAATTTTCAGCCCAAATACATAATTGTGTGGTACACATGAAGACTCAGAAAAATGGTTTTGTGCGTACCAGCAATTTTTCCCTACACTCTCACTTGGGAGCATAATTTTGCTATTTGACAATTCTACAGGCTTGCATCGTGTCATAATTACACTAACAGCTCTTCCAAAATATTAAAATGTGGTTTTTGTTGTGTCATAGCAATCTACATAAATATTAAATAAAATTCATGAATACAGTTTAATTTGCTCAATTCTGCTACATATTGTATACATATGTATGTATGTATGCCTTGCTCAAAACGTTCTCCGCTCAGAATAAAAAAAATCGCACACATTCTACAAAAGCGTGTTGACTAAACATTGTTAATTTTAAATCTTATCTACTTAACATATTCACAGTTTAGACATAGGCACATGTATATCTCTCGTTTGCCAGAAAAAACGCTTTCAAGTTTTCTTCAAAACAAATATGTAAATAGCAACTAAAGGTGGTCTCAGACAGATGCGATATGATATTATATTTTATGTGATAACGATAAAAAGTAAAGGCCCTCGAATTAGTGCGATACGATACACTGCGATATGACCCAAGATTGCTGGCAGGCTTTCTTAGGTGATTAGTAATCAAAAATCTGCAACCCTAAAATGGAAAAGTGATTCATATCGTGCGATGTTGTTGTTGTTGTGGCGGCACTACTAAGCCCCGCCTATTTCGGTTCGTACTTCAAGCATTGTCTCAAGCTCAACTAATAGTAAGCCCAGGGAACGGGCAGTTTCAATATGGTCGGACCAATAAGGTCGGGCTGTTAGTTGAGTGAGATTAAGCTGGTATGTAAAGAGTTGGTTGATGTCGTGCGTAAAGTCTCCACATGCCGGACACTCATTGGGGATATTGGGGTCGAGTCTGAACAGGTAGCTGTTGAATATCCAGACCGTAACTGGGCCATGGTAATGCGGGTCTCTCATGGCAGTTAAAGCTGTGGTAGGGTGGAAGTCTAAATGTCTCCTAGTAGCGTGGAATAGCAGACGGTGTCAAAACGCCTTTGACAAGCCCAACGCTACTAGGAATCTTCTCTCACATGGGCCACGAGTTATTTAGTTGTTTATGGCGTTAAGTGCTGTGCATTTTACGGAAACCATGCTGATGCTTCGCTGGGGCCAGGTGGTGGGTGAAG